AAGGGGAACAATTGTCATGTGATATTTAAATAAATTATTAATCAATAAATATTATATTATTATACCATATATATTTAAAATAATATTTAACTAATAAAATTTAATATTAATTTAATTATATGGTATAATTATCAAATATATTATATTACTAAAACACTTATCAATTTTTATATATATTCAAATTCGTAAAATAGTATATCAATATATTATTTATATCATAATATAAAATAATAAAAAAAATATTATGTTGTATAATAAATACAATATTCACAATCAAAATATAAATTACTATTTTATAATAATTATTTGATATTGTTTGTAAAATATAATGATAATATACTATAATTATTAACTATAAATAATTTTATTATTTAAAAAATATATATTTCTAATAAATAAGGACCTAAATAATATATTTGATCATATAATAATAGTCATACAAATATAAAAACTGAAAAAAGAAATGAGGCCGGACGTTAAAAAAACAAAACAAAAGAAAAGAAAAAAGCATTGCATAAATACAATATTCACAATCAAAATACAAATAACTATTTTATAATATTTATTTGATATTTTTGTAAGATATAATGATAATGTATTATAATTATTAACTATAAATAATTTTATTATTTAAACAAAATATATTTCTAATAAATAAGGACCTAAATAATATATTTGACCATATAATAATAGTCCTACAAATATAGAAACTAAAAAAAAAAAAAAAGGAAGGCCGGATGTTAAAAAAAAAAAAAAACACTACTATTTTTTTAAAAAAATATAATGATAATATATTATAATTATTAACTATAATAATAGTCCCGCAAATACTTTAATAGTTGAAAAAGAGGATAAATTAGTCAACAAATTATATTACCTCTACAACAATGAAGTTTGCAGAGTCTATTCATTGGAGAATGGAGAACGATGCTTGAGTAAAGAAGTTAATATATATCATTGGATTTGAAAGAATGAACGACGTTAAAAAAAAAAAAAAAAAAAAAAGGAACTACTACGAGTAATCGGAAATGGCCAAAAGGACAAAAAAAAAAAAAAAGAAGTTAGTTTTCAAACCAAAGAGACTAATTAATTTATTCCCCAAGGAATTTTTTTTAATTTCTCGAAAGAAAAAATAAAAATAGTAAAATGGTGAAAAGCACCAAAAAAATTAGTTTTCAAACCAAAGGGACTAATTAATTTATCTCTCAAGGAATGATCGACCAAGATGCAAAAAAAAAAAAACATGAATAGGGACTTTGAGCAACCCCACTTCTTTTAGTATGACAAAAAAATTAGTTTTCAAACCAAAAAGACTAATTAATTTATTCCCCAAAGAATTTTTTTTTCCTATTTCTTAAAAGAAAAAATAAATATATTAAAATGGTAAAAGAAAAAATAAAAATAGTAAAATGGTGAAAAGGACCAAAAAAGTTAATTTTCAAACCAAAGGGACTAATTAATTTATCTCTCAAAGAATGAGGGACCAAGATGCAAAAAAACATGCATAAATAGAGATTTTGAGTGTGTAGCTATAGCGAATGGATAGGAGCAACCCCACTTCTTTTAGTAGGACAAAAAAAATTAGTTTTCAAACCAAAGGAACTACTTAATTTATTCCCCAAAGAATTGTTTTTTTATTTTTTTCTATTTCTTAAAAGAAAAAATAAAAATAGTAAAATGGTGAAAAGGATCAAAAAATTAGTTTTCAAACCAAATGGACTAATTAATTTATCTCTCAAAGAATGAGGGACCAAGATGTAAAAAAAACATGTATGAATATGGATTTTGAGTGTGTAGCTACATTGAATTAATAGGAGCAACCACACCTCTTTTAATTTTTTTATAATTAGTATTCTTTTTACTACGATCTTTTTTGTCGCCCAATATTTTATTGGTATTTTCTATTATGCCACTTTATGCTTTGTAAAGTTACAATATTGCTCTTTTAAAATTTCTATTTTAACAAAAACACTAAAAGAAGATGACAAAATACCTTTTATTTCACTATTTCTCAAGACTCATGCATATTGTTCATTAATCTAGCAATTAGTATTTAAATCAGCCTTCTTTTTGTTGTGGTCTTTTTTGTGGTCTCTATTTTGTTGGTATTTTCTATTATGCCACTTGATGCTTTGTAAAGTTACAATATTGCTCTTTTATAATTCTTATTTTATTTACGGTTTTTCAGCCCTATTTTGTCATTCGACCTCTTTATTAGACATAGCATTTAATGCTACAGACTTGAACTTCATGCTTCATATCTTTTCTTCTCAGTCTCAACTCTTTCGTCAGAAGAACTTGCCACCATTGAAAGAAACACTTAATTATTGTTTTGCTGCAAATTTGTTCTGCATTTTTTGTTGGGATTGGATATATTGTTGATAAAAATATAATCCATATGGCTTTTTTTAAACTGGGTATTTTAAAATCAATCCCTCAAAACTAAAATAATTAAAATTTTGCTTAAAAAAACACTCAATGGAACTATACTTTTGAACTAGAGTTTTTTTACGCTAATATTATTTATTTTATATATATATATACACTAAGTTTCTCATCAATATTATAAAAATTTATTTTAAATTTAATTTTTATGTAATTTTTTAAAATTAATTATTTCTTTATTTTTTTTCAAAGCAATCTTTTGAAATAAACAATTAAATTTACATATAATTTTTTTTAATATTTCTTATTAATGAAACTTACGTTTCAGATTATTACAATTTTTTTCAAGAACCCATGCATAAAAAAATCATTTTTTTTAAGAATGAAATCTATTAAAAACCATAAGAAAAAAATTAAGCATAAATTGTGATTAAAAAATTATAATGTTAGTTTTTTTTTTAATTTCGATATATTTTAGTAGACTTACATAATGACGAGGATCATCGAATTATAATTTTTTTTAATTTCATTTATTATGCTCGATATGCAATGTAGTGCGGACAAGCTGTTAATATAAGACTATTAAAGTGGGCGAGTGATCCCTAGTCGACTCATAAGGGACCCATTCAATGAAAACTCATATTGATTACTTTGAGAATTAATAAAAATGGTCAATTATAGGAACATATTACGGTAATCTCTCGATTTTATGATAGAAGCTGATGAGGAGCTTTATCCTAGTGTAATAAAATAAAAAGGACGCATAAATACATAACTTTAAATCTATTGAACTCAATTCTGGCCCATAACTCATCAGAAGGTACTAACTCGTTGGACAGATCCAAAAACCTTGAAAAACAACGCTCAGGAAGAATTTAGGAATCATCCTATACTAAGGCATTCCAACTCAAAAATGGAAAACAACACTCTCCTTTAGGTGTTATTTATTAATTAGAAATAGAACGGTGAGAATGAGAATAAAAATTTTATTCTCACGTTATACTTGTTTGGTTAAAATGAATGAAATGAGAATAATAGTGGGAATGAAAATGAAAATATACACAACTTATTTTTTATATAAGATGTGGAAATAAAAATAAAGAATGAGAATAAATTTTTTTAAAAAAATAATCTACTTTATTTATTTATTATCACGTTAACTATTTTTACCATCACCATCACAACCACCACCGCAACCAATAGTAGCACTACCACCACTACCACCACCACTAGAACCAAAGCTATTATATCAACCACTACTAACATCGTCTTTATTGTTTTTACAATTATTATAGTTTGATAAAATTATTTTTTTAATTATTATTTTTATTTATATAAAAAACTAGATATTCAAAAATTTAAATTAAATTTCGATTCTTCATTAGTATTCCAAACACGGTATGAGAATACAAATATCATTTCAATTCCTTAATTTTCATTCCGATTTTGCATTTTTATTTTGGACTTTTTATTTCGATAATCAAACGACACCTTAAAATCGAGTACGAGGGACAAAGTATTTAGTGGTAATTCTCTATTTATGACATTAATCAATCACTCATTATAATTGTACTAATATCATTATAAATCAAATACAATAATAATAGATCACTAACTATTGTCGGCTCAGCTACGAATATCAAAAGAAAAGAGTATTTCTATCATTTCTCTAATATAAGTTGCCCCCACAATATCCATATAAAGATTCAAACCACCACCAAGTAAACGGGTTCTGGAAAACACTCACAACACAATATCTATAGCCTGTACAATTCCCTCTTCTCTATGCATTACATATAAATAGTTAAATACTTGTAAAAAAAATCTTTTTAGCCGATTCTTCACCTTTTGACTACTAATTTAATATTGAAAGGTTACTAATCTAATAAAAAAGACTTGTTTTATAGCTACACAAAATTAAGGAATCATCCAACATTTTTAGTGACTTCCAAAAAATAATTTTTACCTTTGAAAGCCACACTTTTTTAATTTTACTAGACAAGTCACAAAAAAGCTAATTGAGTTTTTATTATGACAATACGATTTCTTTATACGATTGACTCTTCATTTATTGGTATAAGATGAAGGATTATATATATATAACGGTAAAGTACTAAATGTAATTGATAGGAATTGAAAAAAAAACGAGTATTAGTTTATACCATTGATTAATAAATCAAATTTAGATCACATATAATATTGGATGTAAAGAAATCTTAAACGGTGAAGTACTAAATGTAATTGATATGAATTGAAAAAAATATCTGAGTATTAGGTTAATTGATTAATAAATCAAGTTTAGATCACATATAATCATAAAAATACTAATCAATTTATAGGAAGACAGAGAAGAGAAATGAAGGCTAAAGAAAAAGAAAAATAAGTGCCAGCGCCACAGAAAAGTAGGAAATTCTAGACGTCTAGCGAAGTAGGAAATTATTATCCTTATAGGCTATATTCTAGATAAAGAATACAGTTAAGCCTAGAAACTGTTCATGAAAAATTCAAAGAAGATAATGGGCTGCTAAAGTTGTAATTTAACTAGTATCCTGGGCTGTATGTAGATCATCTAATTGGATTTCAAAATCATGGTAGCCACACTGACCCCGTTTTGACTACCCCTGAGCCCTATCCAAAGAATCCAGCTCTCTAGAAGGCCCAAATCTATTTTCAACCAAGCTCCCATCTCCACTAACGTAACTATCCTCAGACAGAATCCAGCACCCTAGAAGGCCCAAATCTATTTTCAACCAAGTTCTGATCTCCACTAACGTAACTATCCTCAGAATCAGCATTTAAAAATTCAGTACCCTGATGTCCTTCCTGATTTTGTGAACACGAGATAGATGCCGGTGCCTTGACCTCAAGAAACAAAATTATTGGGTCAAAACAATCATTCTTGAAAGACTTCTTGCCGTCACAACTTTCTGACAATCTAGCGATACACGTACTTAAATCTTCTCCTTCAACCTGTGAACTCTTACCATATCGAATTGTAAACATTATTCAAATCTATGTACTCCGACTCACCATATTCAATTGAGGTTGAAGTTGTACCCACGATCATCCACTCAGATACATACTTCACGCATGCAAAGGCAAACCTGAAATCCCAACCCAGAATAGGCCATCAGAATCAATCCAAGGTCTAATTTCCTCTAAAAGTTCTGAAAGCTGTGGTTTATAAATATCAATAGCATAGAATCAACTGTTTCAAAAGTTATCAGAGCTTATGATCCCCTCAAAAGCCTTGCGGAGCAAAACATTCCACGGCCAACCACCTGGTCTAACAACCTCAGCATAAGTTCTTTGTTCCCTATAACGATTTTGTCTTGTGAAAATCCATTTCTTGAAAGGTTGAGCACATCATCTTCCATAGATTAACCCTTGGTTTGTAGGAGTGAAACAAAATATCATTACCACAGAGCTTGTAGCTCAATAGTAGTCTCTTCCAACAAGAAATCACGGATTTAAATCCTAACAAATTATTATGCTAAAAACCTTGAGTGTGTAAGTTAAAAAAAAAAAAAAAAAAAACAAATATCATTAAGGGCCTAATGATATTCTTAACAAACCGGCATGGTTCCATTATCAATAAAACTAAAATAAACATAATTTTATTATTTATTCATTATTTGAAATACTATTCACACACTCACAAATCACCATTCCTTTTATTATTCATGATATTTTTATAACACTTTAGTTCTCGATTTTTATATACTTTTTTTTTAATTTCAAACTTTAATTGTATTATGATTTTGTCACATTTTGTTTTAGTGTTTTTTGTTAATTATTTTTATTATTTAAAATTTATTACTTTAATTTATCATTTTTTTTTAAATTCTCTTTCTTTTTTCAATTTCAAACTTTAATTATATTATGATTTAGTTCTATTTTGTTTTAATATTTTTTGTTAATTATTTTTAATATTTAAAATTTACTACTTTAATTTTTTTTTTTAAATTCTCATCCAATTAATTTAAAATTATATTTACTGATAGTTTTGATTTATTTTTCTATATGTATAGATTTTGGAATAATTTTTTAGAATATGATTATTTTTTCTTTTGAAAAGTAGATATAGATAATTTTTAAATTATAGTGGCATGATTAATATGTATAGTTTGTCCGAAATAATTTTTAGATTAAAAGTGTTTTTCAAATAATTTTTTTCGGTTTTTTTATGTTATTTAAAATTTACTACATTAATTTGTCATTTTTTTAAAATTCTCTTCTTTGTATTTTTTCAATTTCAAACTTTCATTATATTGTGATTTGGTGCCATTTTGTTTTAATGTTTTTTTGTTAATTATTTTATTATTTAAAATTTACTACTTTAATTTATCATTTTTTTTAAATTCTCATCCAATTAATTTAAAATTATATTTACTAACAATTTTGATTTATTTTTCTATATGTATGGATTTTGGAATAAATTTTTAGAACATAATTATTTTTTCTTTTGAAAAATAGATTTAGATAACTTTTAAATTATAGTGGCATGATTAATATATATAGTTTGTCTAAAATATATTTTTAGATTAAAAGTGTATTTCAAATAATTTTTTCTTTTTTTTTAAGAAAAAACTCAAATTAATTAATTAATAGTTGAAAGTCAAATTAATATAGTTTTTTATTTTAATATTATTCATTATTTTGTAAATAAATATATAAAAATTAAATTCATATTTTTTCAAAAATCGATATTCTCATCAACATTAAATAAAAAAAATATTTGTTCAATTTTTTATAAGCTTTTAATAATTTTTATTTATGTTTTTTTGACATAATCTTATGAAATACTAAAGCTTTTTTTTAAAAAAAATTATTTAATTTTCTTTTTAATTAATATTTCATGGATTAACAAGGATAAATCCTTTTTCTAAAGGAAAATTTATGAAAAACATAAATAAGAAATAGTTAAATATAAAATTTTTGATTAAAAAATTATAAATAATTTTTTCACTTTTGATTTTATATGTTTTTATAAATTCACTTCATAAAACGAGACTATCAAACTAAAATAATTTCTCTAAATGATTTTATATATTATATCCAACCCATAGCGTAACACGAGTAAAAAACTAATTATAACTAAAGCCTATTGTGGCTTAGTTTTCTTTTTTGCGACATAGAGACCATCAATTCTTTTTTAATTCTGTGGATTATAAAAAAATTAGTCACTACGTACAAGTATATAGTTGGCATTTAATAGTAGGTTTATGGATTAGCAACTCTATTTTCCTTAATCTTTAGTGATAAAAAAAAAAAAAAAACCACTAATTCAAACATAAAATTTAAAAAAGTTTTTACTGAAAGAAATATTTTTGAGTGTAATATAAATTATTTTTAGAACATCACCCGCTAATTTAACTTTTTGAGTTGAAATAGTTTTTAAACAAACATTAATGAAAAGACTGGATTACAATTGTTTTAAAATATTTAAGATTAAATTGATAAAAATAATAGATTTAGGATTTAATTGAAAATGAATATACATCGAGAGTAAATTGAGGTTCTCCTTATGACTTTCCATTTCCGCTGGAATGTATTGTTGTCAATCTAAGGATTTCCACTACTATATGTAGATCGGCTAGATTTGAGTAAATTATAAATTAGTTTTTCTTATTTGGAGAAATGAATTAATTAATTATTCTGATTTTAAAAATTAATTATTTTGTTCTTTTAATCAGTGTTTATTATGATTAATTTTATATTTTTATTTTATAAAATGTTTTTTCTTATCAATCTTTCCATATTTTTATTTTTATTTTATTTTTTTTCTATTTTTTAGAATAAAAAATAAAAAAATTGAAAAATAAAAAAAACTCAAATTTTAGTTTTTAAAACTAAAGAAACTAATTAATTCGTTTTTTTAAACAATAGGGACTGATTTATAATTTACTCGTTAGATTTCTGGAGAAAAAAAACTGAAAGTCTTTAGTGATTAGGTATGGAATCTCGTTCTCATTCTTGGGTAAGAAGATAAATGAAAAGGAAAAATCCGTCTCTCATTGGATGAATGTCCAGTTAAATAAGACGAGAGAGGGGACAAAACTTATGCCCTCTGCTTAGTATCTTTCTTTTACTGACAAGTTCAAATTCAAAATTCAAAATAAGTTCAAATTCTTTCTTTTACTGATCGTTTGTTACCATTTTGTGTTTTTTGAATATTTTGAAAAATTTAAAGGGAGCAAATGCCCCGTCTCCTCCATGTAAATCTGCCCTTCAGTACAACAAGTTCAACTTCGAAATGGAAAACTACAAAATATTCCAGATTCTTTATATATATATATATATATATATTCTTCAGTATCATTTTGTGTTTTTTGTTTCTTTTTTATTATTTATATTTAAAAAACAATTGTTTGTTTTTTAGCAAAAATATATGAAGAAAAAATTCTTATACATACTTGATTAATTTAAGAAATATCAAACTATATTACTACCAGTTAAAAAAAAAACACTAAAAACGTTTTAAAATTTAATTATGGTAATGAAACCATCCATTGTGTTTGTTGCAGATTTGTTGCAAATTTAATTATGCATGCTAATAATTGGTGTGATATTATTGAAATTTGTTTTAAAATACCTCTGAAAATGGATGAGAGGTGACTATTAGTTATCTCATGAAAGAGGTGAGAGAGAAATTGGGAGATGGATTTGTGGTATTCCATGAGCACAATAGTAGAAGTGAATTTCTCTTGTGTTGTCTTTATCCAATTCTATATATTAAACTCTAATTTAAAATATTAGAGGATATATATATATATATATATATATACTTGAAAAAAAAGTAATGATTTTGTTTGAAGATCAACTGGAAATTTTAAAATGCCCAAGTCATATATAGTTGGATAGCATATAGCTTGGTATTAGTATAAGTTTACAAGAAATAATAAATAATAAGAAAAACATGCAGAATAAAAACCTTTAAGAAGATAGTCAGCTTAATGTGATCAGATTTAACTGTGAGTTCTACTAGCCTAATAGTTTATGGCTAAATAGTTTAAACTTTTCTTAATTTTTAAGTCATTTGAAAATCAATCTTTTAATTTTCAATTTTGGATTGAATCTCTTTTAAACTATTTTTTTATTTGAAATTAGATCATTCTAGTAGTTATTCATCAATTCTAACATGCAAATGCATTTTTTTAACGGTTAAAAACATATTAAAACTTATAAATATTTTATTCTTTTTCTCAAAACTTGCTTATTCCCTCTCAAAAGGTAAGAAGTTAGCATTAGAAACAAGTTTTGAAGAAAAAACAAATCATTCATAAATTTTGACATATTTTTAACTAATAAAAAGTTAAAAAGTCAATTACATATAAATTACGTAAACTTATACAATTAAAATTGACAAAAATCAAACAGAAAATAAAAAATAATTAGAAGAATGTCTAATTCGAAATTAAAAGTTAAATATCTTATCATTAAATCATAATTTATATGTATTCGTCAAGTTTCATTAACTGTTTTTCTTAACATTTAACACGCTTCTAATTTTACTTCCCATTTTATACCAAGGCAGGGCAACGCCAAGAAATTATGAAAATAGCGAGTCACACAACAACCACTGGAAGAAAAGATGACTCCAAAACCAGAGTCCATGTCAGCTAATCAAGAAGCATTTACTATAACCTAGAGATTAAAAATGATTTATGACAGCTAATTGACAAAGTCATTAATATGACTTAGAGATTAAAAAACGAGTCCACATAGACTCCTAAAAGTCAATGCAAAATCCCTTTATAGGACCTAAAGAATTGAGAAACTTTCAATTAGACCCCTGATAAAGTTACAGGCTTACCCCACATTAACTCCTATAACTATTTTTTTTAAGAAGTCCAAGATTATGTTATAGGAATAAACCAACAGGATGATGGGTAAAAGGAAAAAAAAATTACAACCAAACTAAGAATTCATTAGATTTTTGTAGACTAGACTTCTAAATTCTAAGGTTATTCTTCTCTCAAATAAATACCGCCTGTAATAGTCCTTTTTTAAGATGAAGAAAAATAACAATTTTGACAATCTCGGAGGAGAGAGGAGGAAAAAGAATATGGTAGTCATAGTAAAGATAGAAAGAATACCAATAAGTTGTTAATTCAGTAATAAACGAGCTACTTTTCGGGTAAATTTTCTACCAATGTATAAGATTTGGATCTTAAAGTTGCACTTGTTGAAAAGAATTAGATCTTGTTGCTCCCGTTTCAAAAAGAATTAGTTATATCTCTAATATAGAATCAGAATACTTGGGTAAAACCAACAAAAAAAAAAATTAAGTAAATAAAAATATATTTCAATATTTGTCAAACATCTTAGATAGATTACTGACTAATTAATTGGCAATCATGATTTTTTGTCAAATAAAAATTCAACCAAGATGAATTTGAAAAATAAGAGAATATTAAGAGAAATAAAAGTAAATGAAAAAAATTAGTTCAAAAATAAATTAAAAAAAAAACTAGAGAGGGACATAAAAGTTTTTAACCAATACACCTGTCTATTATTCTATTATTATAATAAAAAAAGGATGCATTTGTTTTCAAATAAAAAGAATTAATTATTATTATAGTTACTAGTTTGTCTGATGATCATCTGATGCTTAAAAAACTGGAGCAGGCTGTAACTACTAGCTGTTAATATTTACAGCTGAGTAGTCTAAAATTTCTCGGAAAGGATTTTGAACTTGCTTAAAAATTACTTTAGAGTCCAAGCTATATATGAGAACAAAAAATGACTCTAGAGACCTGGCCAACTATGAAATATTTGCCATGCTTCATGGATTAAAAATGACTCGGACATTATAGCTATTTACTATAAAAGTAATTGAAGAGGTAGTACATTAAATAATAAAAATAAATAAAGGTTATAATTGATTATTTTTTGGTAGAAAGATATAGTAATTGAAAATCTTGTTTCTGTGTCTTAATAATTATTCATCGAAAAAAGAAGAAACTTAGGTAATGAATACAGGTAGATACCTTGATTTGCTTCTAAACTTACTCGCTTATAGGTGGTGTGTGTGAATCACTCATTTTGATAGAGGCCTATCGTATAGTGATTTTAATCCTGATTGAAATAAAGTTTTAATATATTGATTTCTGTATAGTATTCTATGGAAGTCAATTTTAATATTGGTGAGATTTTTTATAATTTTATTAATTTAATAGTGAAAGTTTTCTTATGGACTGCCTTTCTGTGATTTTTCTTCTTCATTCATGGGGAATTTTTTAAGTAAAAATTATTGGTGTTTTGTGTGCTTGTTCAATTTTAAAAAAACTGGAGCAGGCTTTAACTACTAGCTAGGCTGTTAATATTTACAGCTGAGTAGTCTAAAATTTCTCGGAAAGGATTCTGAACTTGCTTGAAACATTTTCTAACTGTGACTTTTCTTGTAGTGTCGGGCATTATAACTATTCACTATAAAAGTAATTGAAGAGGTAGTACATTAAATAATAAAAAAAAAATTAAAGGTTATAATTGATTAATTTTTTGGTAGAAAGATATAGTAATTGAAAATTTTGTTTCTATCTTAATTATTATTCATAAAAAAAGAAGAAACCTTATGTAATAAATATAGGCAGAGTGATTTTAATCCCAATTGAAATAAAATTTTAATATATTGATTTCTGTGTAGTATTCTATGGAAGTCAATTTTTTTAAAAAAAATTACAATATTGGTGAGATTTTTTATAATTTTTATAATTTAATAGTGAAAGTTTTCTTATGGACTACCTTTCCATGATTTTTCTTCTTCATTCATAGGGAATTTTTTGGTGAGATTTTTTATAATTTTTTTAATTTAATAGTGAGAGTTTTCTTATGGACTACCTTTCCATGATTTTTCTTCTTCATTCATAGGGAATTTTTAAAGCTTGTTCAGATGTTTTTTTTTTAATCGCCATTTTTATTACACAAAAAGGAGCACAATTTATTCGAGGCAATTGACCTAGCACGTGTTCCAATCCCAACATTTCAGAAAATTTCATAGAAGGTTGTTGTTATTTTCGTTAACGGCAAGGATCCAAGGTTCTTGGAAGCAGTACATAAGAGGAGATATCATATTGCTACATGAGTTGCTTGGTGGGAACAATTACCTTCTGGAAAGAAGTTGTATGCATGAATCCTCTGAGACAATCCTACGTATTTCTTGCTTAGCCGGCCGAACAGAATTCGTAAAGGAGTTACTGAAGAAGAAAGCAGATTTAGCAACAAGGCTCAACCCAGTTGGCTTTAGCCCATTTCAAATAGCTTCAGCAAATGGGTTTGTGGAGATAGTAAGAGAGCTATTGACGGTAAACAGCGAGCTTGGCAAGCTTAAAAGCAGTGATGGTAGAACTACTCTTCATTGTGCTGCCGTAACTGGGATGGTTCCTGTGATTAAGGAATTGCTCTTGTTTTGTCCTGCCAGCAAGGATATCTTGACATCCAAAGGCGAAACCGCACTTCATCTAGTTGTAAGAAATAATCAGTTTGAGGCTTTCAGAGCCATGGTTGCTGTGCTCAAGCCTCTTAACATTAAGGAGCTTCTAAACGTGACAGATGAAGATGGCAGTACTGTTTCACACCTTGCAACTGCTAAGAAGCAGACTCTGGCAAGTTTCTCTTTCCTCTCTTTGTTCTTTCTTTCTGTTTGGCCAAGTCCAAAAGGGAGGTGCAGGGTCTATCATTCCCCATTTTATTCCTATCTGCATACTTAAACTTGAGACCTGCACATTTGATCCGGGTGTATCTTGTTCTCTTGGATAAAAAGATTAAAGATGAATTAACGGAGGACACAGATAGTATATATAAAACTTACGAGGAACATTCAGCAATAAACCTCAAAAGATAAGAGTAGCTGGAGTTCTGCAAATCTGTGAATACAGTAATAACATTACAGTTTCTATTCAGTTTGGTCAATTTCATTAAAACAGACCTTCAAAATGGCATCAATTCATGTTTTGATTTTCTTAATTACTCTACTTGCTACCTCTTGTGTTACAGATCCTGAAATCACTTCTTGGAGGTCAAGAAATTGACAAAGGCACAATCAATGTGAACGCAGTCAACAAGATTGGATTGACTACTTTGGACCTGTTGGATGTTTCACAGCAAATGGAGGTCGATGCAGCTGATTACATGGTCAGGGAATTGCTTCAGGGTGCAGGAGCATTACGAGCAAAGGAACTTGGAACTGTTGTTGATATTACGGATCAAGTTGCTCGTGTCTCTACCACTATATCAGCATCATCCCCTCAGAATGTAGGGCAGCTCATACAAAATGTCGTTGAACTTTTCAATCCAGTGAAATACTAAAGGAAGCTAGCCGAAGAAGTTAAACAGACTCCAGCAGGAACACAAAATGCTTTGATGGTTGTGGCAGTACTTATTGCAGGCATGGCATACCAAGGCATCTTAAAACCTTCTGCTGGCAATTATTCGTCAGAAACTGATGATACGCTTTACTATTATGCTATGATAGCATCAGGAAATGGGCTTGAGTTTATTATTTTCAGGCAACACCATCGGATTTTTTGCGTCGTTTGTAGTGATCAATTTGGTTATTCAGGTGTATCCACTCAAGGCGTTACTGGGGCTAGCTGTGCGTTGTATGGTTGCAAATTATATTTGTGGTCTTCTACTTATCGATCCGACTAGCACGTCAATTACTCATAAGTCGCTATGGGGTAATGGTAATAGTAGTTTCGGTGGACTTCATTCGCTTCAGCATCTGGTTATTCAAGAGATGGTCCACACAAATACGAGACGAACGTGCTTTCTTAAGCCGTAGAAGCAGTGCCTGACTTATGAAAATTATGTAAAATATGGTCATTTTGATGTTGAATTCTAAAAGTATTCAGAATAAACTTGTTGCAAGTATTTTGTGTGTCAACACCCGAAGTTCGTGGAACTTCTGAAAAATTATTATTTTATTTGCTAAAAATTTTGTTTGTCAAAGATGTGGGTTTTTATTAATTTTGAAATCGATACCTAGTATTAAAAATAATTAAAAACTTAAAATAGACACGAGTTCAAAGATTCTAAAATAAAACGTTGGTTATGCATTTAGAAAGATATCAATCATCCAAAAACTCCATTTCCAAAGAAAGGTACCATGTCGAGTTTAGTCTTAAAATTTACCTCCTAAAAATTTATATTTTTTGCCAAAATTGATCCTAAGTTAAAATTCTAAGTTTTATTTCCTAAGTCAAATTAATTTTTTATTTTTATTTGTGACAACATATTGAATCGATCGTGAAACCCTACCATCGAAAGGCTCTTCAATTCAACATCGAATTTGGTTTAAGTCTCAAAATAATCGGTATATCGGAGAATGACCTAATTACTAAAATGTGAGCGATTTGAGTTAACATCAATCCATATTAGTTAGGAGACTTTGTTAATTTTTATCTAGTTTTTTTTTAAACTCCTTTTTTCTCTCTTTTTTCTTTTACCATTTTCATTTTTTTCATCTTTTTTTTTTTTGGTGTTGGTCGGGAGTTGTCATCGGTTCCTAAAAATTATGAGACTCAACGACTCGTCCACCTATTAATTATCTAATTTAAATATGAAAAAAAAAACTAAACATTGACTAAATAAATAAATAGCATAAAAACTCAAAAATTCAAAAAATTAAATCTAAACTATGCATAAAAATAAAAGGCATGTATTAAAATTTCAGAACTAATTTATCTACAAAAAAGCTAAATTAGGGGTATTGGGCTTTCGGGTCCAATGGACCTTCGATCTATTATGCCAAGCCTACTAAGTTGGCTTATTAGGTTGGCTCGTAGACCGGCCGACCTTTATTCTTCACTTAGACTTGGGCTAGGCTAAGCTTAGCCTAGGCCTAATCGAGCATCGACTGGGTCAAAGCTCAGCCCGTTTAGGCTCCCAAACGAGTCGGGTTAAGTCGAGCCCTTCTCCTAATTTGTTTCAACCAGGATAAACCCTAGGCTTGCTAATATTTTTCTAAACCATTCCCAAATCACAAAGATCAAATCTTTGAATGGCTCGTCTTCTCCCTTCTCTTTTCCTCCTTCAACCTAGCTTTACCTATAACCTAAACTTCCTATTCAATCCCTCTCCCTAAGCCATCACCCGGAAAGAATAGCCCGATTTCCTCTCTTCTCTCTCAAACCTAGAAGTTAAGCTACCAATTCCTCCCAAAATCAAATCCCTAAATCACTCATCTTCTACCTTCTCTCGCTTCTCCTTCAACCCATTTTTTTCTAAAACCCTCATCGAGATCAAATGATCTCTTTGTTCTAATCCCATCACCTGAAAGCCTCTTGATTTCCACTTCTTCATCTAAACACTAAAACCCTAAGTTTCATTTGAATCGTCCGGATGCCCAAATTTGTAACCTCAAAAGTTTACAACGAATCCTTCTTCCTTCTTCTAATACACCCAATTTAATCAATTCTTAACTAATTGCTTGAGTAAATTAAACACCAAGAAGAGGAGTCGCAAATAAGGTTTCATGATGACAATGACTATGTGTTATGCCAAACAAACACGTGGCCCTCGACTTAGTTATGGGTGTTTAACCGTGCTTATCCTTTGACATAGTCTTTGCTAAAATAAAGGCACGTACACTAGTAGATCGAGTCTTTTGCAAAGCCGGTGCTATCGTGGTGCTTATTTGAATCGTTTTGTTGATTTGTTTTTTCTTTATTCTCAGCATCGTGTTCCACTCGCCTATTTAAAGGCCATGGACTAAATAAATAAGGAGGAGATTTCTTCAACATTCATTTATTGCTTAGCAATATTTATTTCATTTGTTACTAATCTTCATTCCAAAATAGCTCGTAGAAGGAGTAGAATGCGTGCTCACAGTACGTGGTGAATTCCGGGGACATAATATATTGGTATCGAAGCCACCCATGGCCGAAGAAACCGGAGACCGGCGTCTCCTTCGACTGGAGCAACGAGATGGAGAATATTAGCGGATAGATGATAGAATGCTACATGCATTTCAAACCGGGAGGAGTCTTCCACGAACCAACCGGTTCGTAGAAACACCCATGGGGAAGGGACTAGTGGGGGAATTATTCCTAAGGTGACCAAACTGGATTTCTCGAGGTATGATGGTACGGAGGATCCTATACTTTGGATTTATCGAGTGGAGCAATTCTTTGATTTTCAGAATATTGCTACCGAAGAGTAAGTTCGATTAGCCTCCTATCATCTTGACGGTGATGCCCAATTATGGCTCCAACGTAAAAAAATTTTACAACCCGAATTAACTTGGCACTCTATGAAGGAGGGACTCCTCAAAAGGTTTGGTGTTTACGCTTATGAGAATTCTTTTGCTGATCTTTGTAAGCTTAAGCAAATGGGAACTCTCCGGGACTATCAATCACAATTCGACAAGTCGCTTCTTCGAGCTGGCACATTAACAAATGAGCAAGAGGTTGGGGCATTCATAAGTGGGCTAAAGGAAAGTCTTAAGGCTGATGTACGAGCCCAAAGACCTACGAGTCTTAATGAGGCCATAGGCCTTGCTAGAATTTTTGATAACAAGTCCACCAGATTTGGGCTTAACTCCCAGTCGACCTTATAAGTAGAAGGCCTACTAATTTTAATAACAAGGGGACTCTCACGACGAAGATCTATAACTTTCACCATCGTTCCACATTCTAATACCATTGTCCATCGTTTCACTCCAACGAGTTACGGCAGCGACACCGACAAGGGCTTTGCTTTCACCGTGACGAGCCATATTCCCTTAATCATGCTTGCAAAAAGCTCTTTTCATCGAGCTTGAGTGTGGATTCGACGAACCAAAGCAAATTCCACTCGATGTCGTCGTCGATGATAAACTAGAGCCGCCGACCATATCTCTCCATGCCATTGCTGGTGTCCTCACTCCTCAAACTATGCGGGTGTGGGCGAGGCTTGCTTGGGTTGTTCATTACTTGTTCGATTGACTCTAGTAGCACTCATAATTTTCTCCAAGCAACGGGTTGCACGCACCCTAGATTAACGGTTGAGCCGAGTCCTCCCATGAAGGTAATGATTGCCAACGGTGAGAAACTCAATAGCTTGGGTCTTTGTTGGAAGGTAACAATCCACCTTCAAGCCTCTCCTTTTCAAATTGATTTTCTACTCCTTGATTTGGAAGGGTGTGATGCCATGTTAGAAGCCCGGTGGCTTCAAATGCTAGGGTCAATTGTTTGGAATTTCGGAGATATGGAAATGAAATTCAACAAAGGAGGAAAAATGATTTCTTTGCATGGAATAAGCCAAAATGAGGCCAAGTCGGTTCGGGTCAAAACCATGCGGCGAGCACTTCAACAAAACCGGGGTCGTAGAACGTTACTACACATTACCATGATCCTCATTAATTTGGGAAGAGTGGAGAAACTAGAGGAATGATGAGTTCTTTAACAATAATATCCCGAGGTCTTTGACGAGCTAAACGGACTTCCATAAAACCGAGGTCATGACCATCGATTCCATTGAAAGAAGGAAGTCAACCGATCAATCTTCATCCTTTTCGATATCCTCATTTTCAAAAACAAGAAATTGAGAGATTAGTGGCGAAATGTTGGCGAAAGGAATCATCCGACTCGACACTCGATCCTTTCTCCTCACTCGTATTGCTTGTTCGAAAGAGTGATGGCTCGTGAAGATTTTGTGTTGATTATCGTGCCCTCAACAAAATTACGAGTCAAGAATAAGTTTCCCATTCCAATAATTGAGGAGCTCCTAGATGAACTACGAAGGGCTAAGTGGTTCACCAAACCGGACTTAAGGTCGGGATACCATCAAGTACGTATGCATGCAATCGACATACCTAAAATTGCTTTCCGGACACATCACTGGTCACTATGAATTCCTAGTTATACCCTTCGGACTCTCTAACACCCCATCTACTTTCCAAGCCTTGATGAACCAAATTTTTTAGCCATATTTGTGAAAATTTATGTTGGTATTTTTTGATGACATCTTGGTATACAGTCGAGATTGGAAAGAGCACTTACAACATATCAACATGGTACTATCAATACTACGGGCAAACCAACTGGTTGTGTGAGAGGACAAATGTTAATTTGCTCAACGGGAGATTCATTACCTTGGCTATATCATTAACGAGGAGGGTGTTAAAGCTGATTCGGAAAAATAAAAGCCATGACCACCCGGCCAACCCTTCGGAATGTCAAGGAGTTACGAGGTTTCTTAGGCCTCACCGGCTACTATCAACAATTTATAAAAAGGTATGGAGTGATAGCTCGACCTCTCACCAACTTGTTAAGAAAGAACGGTTTTTCTTAAGGATCGAAGCATAAATTACTTTTCAAAAACTCAAGGAAACAATGATTCAAGCACCGGTATTGGCTCTTCCGGACTTCTCTATTCCATTTGTTGTTGAGTGTGACACTTCTAGGATCGGGATAGGTGTAGTCCTCATAGCATATTTCAACACTTGGCCTTCGAGGTAAAAATCTCTCCCTTTCTACTTATGAAAAAGAACTAATGGCCTTAACTCTTGTTGTTCGAAATGGCATCCATATCTACTTGGGGCTCGATTTATTGTGAAAACGGATCGGAAAAGCCTTAAACACTTGTTGGAGCGGAAGATTTCAATAGAGGCCCAACAAAAATGGCTCATTAAGTTGTTGGGGTTTGATTACGGTATTGAGTACAAGCGG